ATCTCTGTGTAAAGACTTTTATAATTTATTTCCTAATTGAATTGCTAAGAGTAAAAGTTTCCTGAAGCCTGGGGCTGGAGGGGACTCTGCTCAGGAGAAAGACAACTCCTCCTCTTCCTCCCCTCCTTGAATTCATGTCAGAGGCTCCAAACTCTAAGAAATCACAGCAGCTCTGGAAGTACTGCAGGAGACCTGATATCCACACATGTTAAACTGAGAAAATAATTGCACACAAATTCGAAATTCCTTGAACTGCTGGTATTTCAGGTGGTTGTTTTCAAATATTTTACAAGTTATTACAAATATTGGATTTGACACACAACTGTCAAAACTGACTTCAGTGGTGACAAACTGTTCAATTTTTTATCAGCATATTAAATCTCTGGGCATAAAACTTAAAGTTGATAACACAACTCAGTCTGATGGAATTCCAAATGACATAATAATAAATTCTGATATTTGCAAAAAAATTTTTACTTTGGAACTGCATGCTACCACAGTCAGATAAAATGACTGTTCCATTTTACTGTCAGCTTTGAGAATACTATTTCTTGAACTGATATTAGGCTTCTTAATGTTTCTAAAGAATTATTTGAAGTCAAGAAAGTGTTTTACCCCAGCAAATTCCCAGAGAAGAGCTCCCTGTGGAGCTACAAGGATTTCCCTGCTACGAGAATTTCAAAATCTCATTAGAAAGCATTTCCACAGCTCTTTGAGCTCTAATCCCAAATGGAAAGAGCTAGATAAAAAGAATGTGGATTTAATAATTTTTGTGTCAGCCATACTCTTTTTTTTAGGTAGTTTACATTCACCCAAAAAAGATTAAGGTGGCCAGTGAGCTCCTCAGTTCTAAAGTAGCAGCATTTCTCAGATGGCTTAGCTAGCTCTTGGGTAAGTTGGCAGAAATCTACAGATTTATATTTTTTTAGGATAAATCAGAAAGAAAGAGTCAATTATACATTTCATTGTTTATTGTTCTGTTCAAAGCCTTAAGCAAAGGTAATATGCATATCTTTAAATCAACTGCAAAAGCACATATTTATTAAAAAAAATGTTGCTTTTTAAAAAGGACAATTATTTTCCTTCAATTAGTATCTGCAGCAATAAAATAACTAAGATCAAACATGCTTCAAGTCCTGAGAATCTTCTTTAATATTTAATATAAAATATTTGAGAAATGTGTTATCTTTACTGTCTCCTGATTTTTTTTCCCTTCTTTTGTTCACCAACAATAAGTTACCATTTTAAGATCATAAAACTTAGCACTCCAGCTTCCATTTGATTCATGTGTATACATAAACCAGGCCAGTTCCTGAGTAGCTTTATTTAAGGATTATTGGATGCAGTCCCAGAAGGGAAATAAATGAGTTAAATCATACCTGAAGTCTTCTGATCTTGTTTATGATGACTATGATCTTGAAAAAGTGGCCTGGTGGTGCTGAACAAAACTTACATGAGTGGGCATAGTTATTCACTGCAGCATTTATCTGGAAATGCCATATTCTTTTTAAAAAAAAAATATAGTCACTTTTATCCTTAAGCCCTGCTTGATCTATATTGCTGTACATGCACACAAAGGAAAAAAAAAAGAGAAGTTTTATGTTCTGTAAATGTTATATGTTCTTATAGCACTATACTCCACTGAAGTTAAAATAATGATTGTAAATATTCCCTTGAAAAATTTAAATCACCCTGTCTTCAAAATAAATGGATACATGTTTATTTGCTCTTAAACACAGAAATTTGTTTATGTCATGTATATAAAGAGTGATTACCATTTGATTTAAACACAACTAAAACCTACTCTCAGTTTAAGGGAGTTCAAAGGAGCCACCAGTTACCTCAAACATGGCCAAAAAAATGTTCTTTGGACAGAATTTTACATTTTGAGGCCAGAAGTACACTTTTGATTATCTAGTCTGATTTCCTGAATAATAAGTAGCACACAGCTTCCTGTACAGACCCTCACCGAGTGATTTCTTCATCAAGCCTTTATACTCTGATTTAGCTAGACCACATGGTTTATAGAACAACAACCTTAATTTCATTAAATATTGACTTTGAAAGTTATCACATGTAGGAGAGGGACCAGCTGACTTCTATGAGTACCAGATTTGAAACGAGATGCTCAGCACAAAGTTCACCTTAGAGCTTTGCAGTTCCCTGTTTCTGAAGCTGCCAATTCATATCAGTTTGCCTTCTTCTCTTAAATCCTAAATCTTTAAAGTCTTATTAGACTTGAGTCCTTTGATTCAGGATTCTGACAGGATTCAGAACCTTCTCAGAATACAAACACTCCCAGTTCAGAGAGGCTGAAGAGGACTTCAACAACCAATTTTCATTGGCAAGTTGAAGACACATTTTCACTGAACCTTGCAGATGCAGAATGTCACCCTGTGGACTTACAACTGATTTCCATTCTTTTTTTCTGGCTAAAATGAGTATCATTAGAAATAGAGCACTTACACTGAGTCTACTCTCTTTCTGCTCACAAGATCAGTGTGTTCCAACAAGGCTGAGGACATTTTGCCTCTGAAATCAGTGCAAGAGGATTCCCTCAGCTGTCAGTCCACCAGAAGTGCTGCTGATGGCAATGCCAGATTTCAATTTGCCTTTTTCTCCATTTCAAAGACACCTGAACAATTCAAGGTCCTCAACTGGTCCTGATGTTTAGCTTTTATGAGGAAAAACACAACAACTGATAGAGAATTTTCTTCCTCTCCAACATTAGAGAGTTCATTCAAATTCCCATTGTCCAGCACTTCAGCAGAGCTGATTTATTGTACTGTTACACAAAACCAGACTGATACACCGAGTCCCACAGCTGACCTCTGGTTCAGAAACATCTGGTCCAATGACATGAAAAAGTTCACTACATCTGTACACATTAAATCAATTAGTCATAATGGGATTTGGCAGCCAGTAATATGGAAGTATGGCTCACAGAGTAAGTAATGATGGCTTTTACTGAGTTAAAAGACACTTTAGGACACACATGGTTCAAGGATCTTCTTTCCTAGGGTGTCTCCATCTGCATAACATTAATGATGAAGAGAGCTCCCAGGTCATGCTTACACAAATAGAGCATATTTTACTATTTTTCTTAACTTCTACTTCAGGGATCAGGTCCTTATGCTTTGATTATACCACCTCCTTTTGGCACTCCAACAGCAGCAACAGAAAATACTTCTGCAACTACAGGCAACTCTCATGTCAATAGCTGGCTTCTTATAAACCAAGGGTTGTAGAGCCAATCTCTTCTTAAATCCCTTGGATGACCTGCTTGTTTATTTTTTCTGTCTCAACTGAGGAAGCTCCTTACCCCATGGCTGCATGGGAAGAGAGTTTACTCCTTTAATTCTTCCATCTCCAGGTGGAGAATCCAAGACTTGGAGGTGGAACCCAAACAGAAAGTTATACAACTAAATTTTCTAGGGAAAGAAAAAGCACCTGAGGTATTTTTAAAAGTACTGACTTTTTTTAAAAAGTACTTTTAAAAAAAGTCAGAGGCTTTTGGAGAGCTGACCTGCAGGAACACAAAATGGGCACTGGGATATGTGCCATAGCTGAGTTCATGCATGCAGTGAGGGGTAACTAAGAGGTTGCAGGCTTTAGGCAGCTTTTCCTTGGAAGCCTGCTCTGCAATCCACTGTTCCTGCAATTGCACCACAGGAAAGTTGAGTTTGTTCCTTAGACATGAAGGAATCCAGAATGGATTCTCTGTTGTCTAATAGGCCACAGCTCACAGAGAGTTTTCCTGTGGATAATGGGTAAGCTTTCACTCTGTGCTTATTCCTTCACACTCATTCTGGGATGCCTGGATGAATTGCTCCTGATTTTTCCCCTCAAGGGAACATTAGTACAATATCTTTGCTGTATTTAGTCCCAGCTGTCTTTTGTTTTGTATAATAATATCTCTAGATCCCTAATTCTCTACCAAGAGTGGATAATTGGTTTAAAAGTCTAGCAGGAAGAGCATTATTACATATTTGTTTTTGTGGGAGACCTACAAACAGAGTAACAAAAAAACCCAAAGAAAACCAAACCAAAGGGAACAAAGTTTTATCTTAAGATATTAGGCCAAAAAGCAAAGTAATAAAATTAAAATATTTACTTCTTAAATAGATTATTAAAATTGAAATAGCTCTCCTGAATCAGATCAAATCACCTGAAGGAGGTGTTTACCAGGAGGCAGGTTTTAATCTCAACTTCTGCCTTTTCCTGCAGACTCATCAGCTGCACATCGACATCCACTTGCCATGATTAGTGCTGACCATGAGCAAACCTTCAAAATGCAGCTGGATTCCACCACAGTGTTGTAACCAAGACTTGCACTCCCCAAATGCTTTTCCTCTGTCCCGACACCTCTCTTCTGGCATTTTTATTTACTGGCTGCAGTTAGTTTTCACTTATTTTTATCTTCCACGGCATCCCTCCGATTTATCAGTAGGCAGAGTTTTTTGTTTCTCATTCTCTCCACATTTGGAGATAACTCTTCCTCTAACCCTTTCCCCTATCTCTTACCCAAGCAGCTTTGTTGAATGCTTATTTGGGGACAGAAGGAGCTCTACTGTTGCTCAAGTTAATATTTTAAAGGCTTGTTCAGTGCCCTCCCTGCACGAGCCCACCAGCAATAAACAGCACTATCTAACCACACCAAGCTCTCTGTTGCCTTTACTTTTACTGTTGGGGCCTAGAATTGAAAATGGGAGGTTTTTTGAGTAGCTGATGTATATTTAGCTGAGCTAATGCAGTGTTCCATCTTTTATGGTTCAGTTACATTGTCATAAGATCAGAGGGAGGATCTACTAAATGCACCAAATATCAGTTCCAGCTGCAATATGCTTTTTTATTATGACTTAGCACTTTCTAGTGCTGTGGTGCATTTATGGTCAGAAAAATAAATGAGTATTTTAAAGAATGAGTATTTTAAAGAACTATTAGCTCTAAAGCAAAAAAAGTCCACTATATTTAGTAGGTTGAGGAGGGAAAAAAAAAAAAAGCAAAAAGGGAAAAGAAAAGGCAGCTAGGGAACATTAGGCTAAAGAGAGGCATATTAGCTCTGCAGCATGAAAATACATAGATTTTTGAGGATGGAATTCAAAACACAGGGAGCTACAGCAAGGTTCCCCAACAGCTATGGAAAATACACATCCCTTGTGTGAGCAGGACTTGTATTTAATTTTGGACTGTACAAATTGAAAAACTGCTCCAGGTGACCAAGGCAAAACATCTGCAGAGTTTCATGCTGTTTGCGTTAGGAGGTGAAGCTGGCCATGGCATCAGGCTCCTCTTTGATGTGATCCCACTTAAGTTACAACAAATGTGCACAAAGCCCTCTCTTCCCTCAGCCCTGCACAGATCCCTCAGGAAGAGATAGGGAGTGCTTGCTTATACTTCCAAGACTCTTTCCATCAGATCTTCTACCCCAAACGCTGCCCCTGCATGCCCTCAGTCTCTCTCACGTGTATCGGTTCTCCTCTGAAGGAAGAATCAATGCTGAGAATTTCTTTGGCTTGGTTTCAGCTGCAACGTGGGCTCCTCTATTTGTGCACACATACTCCTGCATTAAAAATATTCCCTTTATGTACTCAGACCCCAGGGAAAACTTCAGATTCCAGCATTCATGTGGCCTGGTGCTCTGGGCATTTGCAGGCTAGGGAGAGGCTGCCTAAGTAATAGCAAGATAAAATGCTTCTGACATTTTGCTAACTGACCTCTCATGCTTATCAGTTCCAATGAGATCTCCAGCTCCCAACATTACAACAGGCAGATTCAGTCAAAAGTTAGAGTAATGCATAAAAATCTCAATTTTAGAATTTTTAACCTATATTATGTCTATCCCATTCCAAAGCTTACGCAGTTACAACAAGTGTTAATAAAATCATTGTACTTTACTTTTAGTGGTTAAATAATACTGAGCAATTATGAAATATACTTAAATACTGCAATAAGACAAAACAAATACAAAAATTAAATAATACAAAAAAAATATATCCATCAATAAGTTAAACAATGGTGTTGAGGCAGATATTCTAGTTTCCCGGAGTGAAAAAGTGATATCTTTCCTTGAAGCCTACAATTCTGTCACTGAATTACAAGAAGGAAGATAACACTTTGGTTAGAATATGATCTTCACTAGAGAACACTAATAACAGTCAGAGGAAAGACAATAGCTATGATGTGCTTCAGAGATCTTCCTAGCCAACAGTGGGAACACCACTGCACCACTGGAAACCTGGAGAAAACAAAACACACCCAGTGATGAGCACTGCGAGAGTGAATCTGAAGTTACAAAGCTTTCTGAAGTGAATTTAGCTGAGTTTCAGACACTCTCTGTGTAGCTTTATATTTTTCTGTCCAGTGCATTTTTCTCTTTGCCCACAGCTGCTGCACAAGTTACGGCTGCATAGATGACCCTCCATCTCTCTTGTTCCTTAGAAGGTTATTCAGAGCTCAGTGAGATAGGTCACAATGACTTCTATCACTGAAATTTCAGACCTTCCAGCACTCTCCAAGTATTCCCAGCTCTTCCACCACCCATGGACATTTTTACCCAAACAAAACATGGAATATCCTGAGTTGGAAGGATATAGGGATCACTGACTCTGAGTCCTGGCTCTGCACAGGATAACCACAAAGCCCAGTTTGGGCTGTCTGCTAATGGCCTGACCTTTCATCAGGCTTCTTTCACTACCAATTGTGACCCAACCTAACCAAAACTCACCTGCCCTTGCTCAGAACACTTTAGCAAACACTCTTTTTCCTGCTTTCAGTTCCTATCATCTGTACTCAGCTTGGCCTTAAAGCAGATCAGCTGGTTTAAAAAGTAATTTCTTCTCTCTGTTCATCTTCTGTCTCCTCAGTAATTTAGAAGCCTTGCCTTGCTAGACTCTCTTATTAATTTCAGACCTTGGCTATCAACCTATATTAGCATCAACAACAGCCTCTTCTACAGCTTTTAAAGGATTTTTGTTCAGTTGTGCTGTAACATTAACTATTTCCTTCAAATGTGGGTATCATCAAGTTACACTTTGCTAGTGTTTCTATTAAGAGCGTTAAAGTCTCTTGTTCTGATTAGCAACCCAAATAAAATTTCAACTTCATGTTGCTGTTCAGCTCTTGGCAATTTTTCTCACACTTTTACACTTAAAAAAATAGAGATGGTGAGCAGGAAAATATTTCAGAGGCTAGATGTTTAGAAGGTCAGCTGGAGGGTAGATTACTAGAAAAATCAAAGACAGAAGAAGCTCTAGAATTGACTATCAGTAAAGCCTCAATGTCAGCTTTAATAATTGTTGATATTCAAAACCCCCACCCAAAAAACCCAAAAATCTTGTTTCTTTTCTTTGATACTTAGATCCTTTTGTATTTTTCCCAGAAGAGAACAGGAAAGAACAGTGAGCTGTACAGGGTCTTCTCCCCAGATCCCCAGCCCTGGGGGATCTTCTGGGACTGAGGACTCCCCTGGGCAGAGAAGCACTTTTCCATCACCTGTAAGTCTTTGAGGCAGCAAACCCTGGCAGAGCTTTATATCAAAAGACCTGGGGACCAGGACTGGGGGCAGTCAAACCCAGAATTAGAGTACTTTGGTGCTATTTCAAGAATACCACTGGAATGGCACCTGCTTACCTTAGCTCAGTCTATTTTTAACTTAATTCAGCTGGATAGCAAACTTTGCTGCATGCAGATCTCTCTCCAGAAAAACTAACGTAACATTTACAGAAACAAGGTAATTTGAAATACTTCTGTGTCTGGCTATTTGCTGACTTAAAGTAATTTCCAAGGAGACATTCTGAAAGCTGTCCAGTAGCTTCTGGCATTTAGGAGGGAGGCCACACTTACTTTATATGGGTCAGCTCTGCCCTCAGATATGTGATTTTAATTTCAGTGATATACACTTAATTTCTATGCTATACACCATTATCCAAGAACAAAATTAATTAAGCCCTTTGTGCCCAATTATTGGTCCTCTTAAGCTGTGCTGAATTATCTCTCTTCTTCCCAAAAATATCTGTACAGAAAATTAGGATCAAATTCACTGTCAGATATTTCTCTGGGGAAAAACAAACAAACAAACACATGAGCAAAGGAACAAAAACACCTACCAAAAAAACCCCAACACACCCCTCACAAAAAAAAAACAAACAAACAACCAAAACTACAAGAAAAGACAGAAAAATCCTTCTCCCTTTAAACCCATTATATTTCAGTGTGAATGAGAGCTAAACCCTCACTGCTGGTGCACAGTTGAGCTCACTGTGATGAGAATAGCAGTCCTGTGATTGCCACTCTTGAGTCTTATTTTGAATAATTTTATTGGTGGTCTGGCTGCTGTCTGTACAGATGAGGCCACATCTGGTCAAGTGCACACTCAGTAGGTTGAAGGCTTCAGTTCCCAAATGAATTTTGCGATATTCAGACACTTAACTGACCAGTTTCTCTTTTTATAGACCCTGGATGTAGAGAATTAAATAGCATTTACCTCCCAGAAGCTGTTGCCTTCTTAGACCATCTGGGTAATGAGAGTATCATTTACACCACATAAAACTGTGACACCTGGAAAGGAAAAGGCCAGCCTGATAAGATCCATGTACAAGCAGAGTGAAGCAGCTTTTGATCAGAACCTTTCGCAGTTTGTGGGGTGGCTGGGGATTTTTTGTGGTTTGTTCTGCCTTTAAATAGTGGAGTTGAAGTAAATGAGTGGGGTTTTTAAAAAAAATAAAATCATTGAAAAATAGACAAATAGAGCATTTCCAACAAATAAAAGCATCTTCAGTTCACACTGCAAACAACTGAAAATGTGAGTGTGATGAACAGCCACAGTCAGAGTTTCCTTCAAAAACAAGCATGAACAACCCAAAAATATAATGCAAGCCTAAACTTTATAGGCTTGCAGGAAATCTGTATTTCAGTATTAACAGAGGACAAATGTTGTATAGGCTCCTACTTTTTTAACACTTACATATTTATTAAAGAATGCAAAGATGATCTTTAAAGTAATGTCATTTTACTAGGAGGATTACATCACTAAGAACTCCAAAAAAAACCACACAGTAATTCCAGCTGTGTTCCCCTCAGTAAATTAACATACACATGCAGTTTCTTACCTTTACCAGTCCAAGAGAGGGCATTTTCTGCCCTGAGATATTTCCCCCTCTTTATTTTATTGCAGGTGACCCTTCAGGGGCACAAAACACCCTTCTCATTGTGCCCATGTCCAGCATCACCTGTGCAGTCAGACCAGCTGGGCAGAGAGGTGGAAATCAGCTTAACACAAGTGTCTCCTGGGGAGCTGAGTTAAGGGACAAGACCAAGGGTGCAGGCACCTCCAAAGCTTCCCATGACATACAAAAGCACAGCTGCATTCTTTGCCCCCAGTTGTGACCCTGCCAAATTCCTAATTCTTTTCATTGTTTTCTCCCATGCAACTGAGGTGCTTTCCTCAACACCAGTGTTCCCAGGAAGGCTGGGGGGTGTGCAGCTGCCCTTAGGTGCAGCAAGGGATGAGGTTCCTCCCCTGGCACAGATTAATCACAACACATAAGTACATGACATGGCCTTTTCTGTTTTTCAGGCTCCTATTTTTCCAAGAATATGAACAAAATGCTATGAGCATCCTTAAGCCTAATTTTCATATCTTTAAGAGTCAGGACTCAAACCCAAATTCTGCTATGCTGGGATTCCACTGCCTAAACAAATTATTCTTCTGGAAATGCCAGGTGAAGTACTACATAACTTTGCAAAGTCAAAACAGCTCTTGTACCTCTGAAATACAACTCTGCTATATTTTCTCTTTGGATACAACACTGGGAAGATTCCTTATTTAAGCTGTTATCTCTTTTTTCCTCTGTGTGTTTTTCTGGAATCGTCTTTCAAATATTAAAATGTCTACATAGCCATGCTAAAAATCTGATCCTCCTTATCTGACAACAAGAACCATAAAAGAAATCTTACAGGAAATGCCACCACCTCTATCATTTTGTTTCTACTTCTATCCAGTATCTGATTTACATCAATACAATGTAATGAAAATCAGAATTCTTAATTAATTAGGTTTACTTCAAATCTATTTTATTTTATTATTGAAACATCTCCCTGAGGACTTCTTAATACATTTAAGGGCATGAATAACCCAGTAAATAGCCCCAGGGACATCAGAGAGACACATGAATTCAGTTAAACACAGCCTAAAACAAGACAGGAAGCTAAATAGATCACAGAAATATCCAGAAAACTCATATCTAATCCCTGAAGTGCCCACATTCCTACCAATAAAGTCATCTTTTCCTCCACGTGTTTAGGTTCTGTATCTGCTCTGATAAACACAGAAGTTTAATGCTGACTCCTGTTCCCACACTGGTGGTTACATTTGCTGCACAGTGATTTCTCAAACACCCAGTCTGTGAGATCAGGTTTTATTAACAACAAAACTAATTTCACTGACAGATCAAATACAACCATGGCTTCCTGGCAGCTGTTAAAATTGTTTAAAAGCAGGAACATTTCATCCAATTGGAGAAAAGCAAGACCAAGCCGTTCCTAGGTTTTCAAATATTTTCTTTATATAAAAGCACAAATAATTTTTTCCTCAGAGAGTCTAGAATAACTGTTTTAGAGAGTGAACCAATCATAAAGTCACTGTGAGAATTATTCCTCAAGAAAGAGCACTGATAGTTAGGACATGACGCCCACACCAGGGTCATTTGTAACTAAAACCACATCATGGCATCCAGGAGCATCCTTGGCTTAAGATGCACATTCTGGCAATGCCCTGACTTTGAAACTGGGAGCCTGACATGCACCATTTCCTCCTTCCACTCTTCCCACATCCTGCTTTCCACATTAAGGAAACTCAGATTGGCTTTAGGAGGTTTCCTAAATGAATAATTTTTTGCTCTGACTGAAAAGTTTCAGTATCAGAAGATTCAGTAAATATGCAACAGCTCTTTAACTCATTCAGAAAAATGCTGGTCACCTGCAAAGATCTTTACAAGGGCTACTTAATGGCAATATGTGCATCAGGCTGCAGGAAACTCTTGCACAGACAAGTTATTGTCCTTTTCAACTATCAATATTGAATCTGCACAGGCACAGCAGATATTTGCATCAAAAGAACATAATTTAGGGAAGATGTAGCAGATACATTTCTGATTTTCTCTGTTTACTGTTCCACATCCACCTATCGATTTCAACGTGCTGCTGATTTAGCCTTAACTTTTTTTAGCAGAGTTTTTTGCCCTTGACTGATCAAAATCTTTGGCAGCATTGCTGCTTGGAAAACGGAAACTGCACTGCCAAAATAATTGCCTAGGATGAGGATAGATTCAGTCTCTGGAAAAGACATCATACTTTCAAATTGCCAGCTTTCACCTGTCCAATGCACTGTGCACTTTGGCTTAAATACAGCCTAAGCTGACTCCAGTGAAAACAGAAAAGCTCGAGACCAAAGCTCTGACTGGGAAGGCAACTAAGAGCATCCTGTCCCATTTGGGAATGGAGGCCTGGGGAATAAAGTGAGTGCTGAGTGTACTCAAAATAGCTGTGTGCAAGTAGGGGAGAAAATGGGGTTTACTCAGTAAGTGTTAAGCTCAACATTTTAATAATTCCTTCAACTTTTATTGGCTACTTTAGGGTAGCTCGGGTTTGCTCTTTTGAGGCTCTGTGCAATTTCTGCTTGACAGGTGCTTCAGATTCCTAAAAATGAGCTCTTTCTGTGCTTTAAATTATTTTTTTTTTTTCCTTTTCTTCTCTATATAAGTGTTAGAATCCTGCAGAAAGTAGAACTTGGCTTATACTTTAGTATGGTCTCCCTTCAGAAAATCTTTTATTCACAGAACATAAGGAAAAACATCCATGATGTTACCCACAGTCACCTACTCTAAAAATGCTCCTGTGCTAATGTCAATAATTTTCTGTATTCATAAATCCTATGAGAAGCAGCTAAAAGGGACTGTTCATACCCTGAGAAGTGCTAGAATTTGGGGCCCTGGCTCTAGAAATCTTTTCTTTATCCCTCCACTGAAAAAAAAAGGCTGTGCTCAGGTGAGGTTTCCCTCCTCCTCACCTCCCACTGGCTCAGATGCAGTTCTGATTTCCAGTCATTATAAATGTTCACAATTACTTTTGAAGATTCTTTGGGGATCTTTTCACGCTTGAACTGTCTCCATCATCTCAGAGAGCTGGAGTTCTCAAGCCACATCCCTGTTTCTTTGCTAGTCTGAGCAGGACAAAACCTCAAAAAAGCAAACCCAAACTACCATAAAGTAGCCAAGGAAAGCCTCACCTGGAAATTAATCCCACCTTTAACTATTAACCTGCTTTAACTATTAAATTATTGAACAGAAAAAATTACTAGAACACCAAAGTTCCTGAAAAATATATCATTTCTCAAGACAGGCAATATTATAAAATGAAGCCTCACATGCAAATTTTCAAACAAGCTGGAACCCATGACTCCAGCTTGCTCTCACTTAGCAGCTTTTCAGCTCCAGCCCAGACAATGCAGATATTGTTCTACCTTCAGCTGACAGCAGGACTATCTGGGATGTCCAATAACACATGGAGCCATCTGATGAGAGATCAGCCAGCCAGCTGAAGGCAGAGGCAGGCAGCTCCTCCAAGAGCAACCTCTGCGAGCCTGATCCTGCAAGGTGCAGAGAGCCGCGGCTCCCGCGGGCTGCAGTGGGAATTGGAAGCAGACAGAAAGCTGTGGGAGATGATGATCAATATCTCCCAGACATGGGCCCTTAAGGGGCTCAGATTTCAAATGCCTGGCTCTCACTGCAGATGTGCAACAGAAATAAAACTTCCTACAGCTCTGAGGAGCTGTTGCATTGGAACAGAACGTGGCCAGATCTTAATGGTTATAGGAACATTAGATCCCCCTAAAACACAGGAACCAGAGAGACAGATGAGCAAGTTTTAAAGCCAGGTTGAACACAAAGTCCATAAATGCACTAGCCAAGAGTGATAGCTAATTTGCCTGTGGTTCAGATTACAAAATCATCTCTCCTCAAAGGAGCCATGGAGGAAAAACAACTGTGTAACCCACCAAATGGAGGGGACACAACAAACAGAGCTCTCAGACAGGTTTAAATACGAGGCCAGGATTTCTGTAGATGTACATCCATGATGTCAGCAGCACAGGCAGTGACAGAGTTAAGATAATGTGCCTTCAACTGGCAGGGACTCCATCTAATTGTGCTGCTCAGGGGTGTTTCTGTCTCTCAAGCCTGCAATAGCACCAGAGCCAGATGCTGCCCACGCAGCCCTCTTTCCCTCAGGGAAAACCATGCCAGAAAGAGGATTCCTTGTGTTCAGAGGGATGTTCTAGTCCAGAGCTCATTTAATTTTTGTTCCCCTTTTGGCTCTTCTTCAGATGCTTGCACTGCTCCTGGCTGTGTGTGGCATCACTTCAAGGAAAAGATTAACACCTTCCCCCTCTCAGTCCATTTACCACCATTTTGTTACTATATTTTAGCTCAGTTCTCAAAGCACTGTCCTCCAGAACAGGGTTTGAAGACTTGAGAACAGAGATCAACCCCAAAACTACTTCT